CCAGAGCTGCCAAAGTGCTTGAGCAGAATGGCTCCTTTAACTTGAAAGCAACGATGCAGGCCAAGTCTGAGCAAGGTGATAAAGCAGAACTGGGTTTTTTTGGGCCTCCTCCACTTCATATGATAAAGCTTTACTATGGTTTTCACGTTGCAAAGTACTACAGAGAAAACCTACAGAGAAAACTCCGGGCATCAGAGGTGGGTCTTGTAATCGTTTTCTAAAATCACGTGCTCCTCAAGGGAAGAAATAGGATGTTTTGCTCTGGTATTAGCACCAAGGAAGCACACATACAGCATGTACTTAACCACATTAAGAGGCATGATTACTGTAGGAACCAGAGTTAAATTACCTGAGTAATTCACAAATGAGTAATTTTGTTTACAACATCTGTTGCATCATTGTGATGAGTTAAACACCGGTCAGGTGATGTCGTGCGACTGAGTCGGAAGTTTGAGACAGAAGAGCCTCTTAGATCACCCAGTCCATCCCTTGGCTAATCTGCCAGCGCTTCCCTATAGTTCATTTCTGCATTATTTTCTTAGTCAGATTCAAGACATTTGATGTAACAGGGTTTTCCCTACCAGTTTCTGATTTTTTTCCACTGTGAGATCTCATAGCTAGGAGAGAGCTCCTGAAAATGCAGCCTCATCCTGCTGTGTCACTTTATCACAGAATAATAGAATACAAGGCTGGAACAGACTCAGAGATCATCCGGTCCATTTCTATGCCTACAGGCAAATCCAACTGTAATTAAAACATTCTGACAAATGCATGTTCAGCCTGCTCTGGCAGATCTCAGCCTCTTCCGGCAAGCCATACCAGAGCTTGCCTTCTCCTGGTATCATAAACTCTTCCTAATGCCTAAATGTTTCCTGTTGCATTTCATGCTCACTGCATCCCCGTATCTCTCCCAAGGAGACGTGGGTTACAGATACCACCTTTCCATTTTTTCCCTTGCAATATTTCTATGATATATTTTTCACTCTAGTGAGAGTATGAAGTACAGACTAATCTGTTCTCCTGCAGATATCATGCCATAATACCTGTTATCTCTGAATCTTCTCTTGTTTTACTCCATCTTCTATCAACTAAAAGAAATCTCTTAATTCTTAAATGCTTCATATTTAGCTGGGAAAAGTCCAGCTTGGCTTAATGCTGCCAGACTGACCAAGATAGGGTCATGAAGCCTCTCTTTGGGGGTTAAAAGGCAAATTTTGCTTTGCACCACAGTTTGCTTACTAATATTAATGAATTTACCCTGAAAATTTATGAATTTATGAAATTATTCCTGTTAGACATCAGGAGAACTGAGCATCAGGGCTTGTGATATGTCCACACTCCTGGAAGGAAGAAAGCTCAGGTAGCTCCAGAGGAGATCTGGGTCTCTTGGCTACACTGGTGCTAGTGAACTAAACAGTGACAGTGCCCATCCTCTGGCTTTGATGCTACCTGCTGTGATCTAGTCACCTCCATGCTATTAAGCTCCTTCAACCCTCAAAACCGGTTGTCCCCATTCAGGTGCCTGTTGGAAATGCTCTGTGCTCATTCCCAAGCGGGGAGCTGTCAGGGCTGCAGCTGTGCCAAGCGCTGATCTTCCAGCGTCAGGGCACAGACCAGAGTGTCCCAGCGCCTCCTCCTGTGCCCTGACTGTTCAGTTTTCTTGTACAGGAATAGCCTTTGTGTCCTATTTCACCAGCTTAAGTGCAAGGTCATCTTTTCCCTACGTTTGCTTTGTTCTCTAAGGTCAGCAGGGTGACTGCAGAGACCGGCACAGCTGAAAAAAAAAGATTTGATGCATTGTGTCCGCTTTAAAATAATTTTTACTCAGGTCAGTTTGCATTTCCAAACCTACTAAATAGGAAAGGCAGCCAGTTGATTTGTAACAGTCACTCTAAACGATGGGCAAAGTATCATTCACTAAATACTAGGTTTTTCCATTAATTGCAGGACTGAATGAAAGCTCCTTAGGGTTGTTTTTCAAACCTGAGCGGGAGCAGAGATTGGACAACTCTAAAGATCAAATGCTTAACTGCAACATTAACTGTACTTTTAAACTGCTGGCAGGGATCCTGGAGAGTCGCGTGGTCGTTACACCAGTACACAAAGAATGTTTTACAGGACCGTCTCTGATCACTGTTTTTCAGAGGAACTGAATGCGCAGGCAGCAGCACTATTGTACAATTACCAACTCTGTTGCAACACACTGTTGACTTTTCTGCTAATGAAACGAACTGTTTTCCTGTGGCAGTTCCTATTATTGTGTTTCTGAGATTTATTTATTTAATCATGGGTGTGATTTATCAGGAACTTTGATTTTTTTTAGGAAAGAAAGAGAAGGAAAGGGAGAGGGAGGGAACAAAAGTGAGGGAAAGAAAGAAAGAGACAGAAAGAAGGAGAAGGAAACAGAAAGAAAAAGAAAGAGGGGGTCAGTTTAATCCTTTCAGGAATATTGATATTTGAAAAGAAATTTACTCATATGAGCTGTTTTCTAGCCGGGTGGGCTCCAGGTTGGGGAAAGAGGAAGAAGGGATGAATTTAGATAGAAAACCTTTTATCCACTCTGCCAACATGTCCCTGATGTTTGGAGTAAGAAGGTGGCACCTCCTTGTGCACTGCCTTCACAGCTGCTCCTTCCAGCCCACCCCAAAGCAGCTGTTCTGGACCCAGTTGTGTGCACAGCTGGCAGACTGGTACCCTCACTGGTTCTTGTCTTGCACATCTGATTTCCTTCGGGAAATCCGGAGGCTACAGCCAAACTGTGCGACAGGCATTTTCCGGGGAATGAGTCCAGTTGTTCCCCAAACACTGCATCCAGCCAGCACATCTGGGTTTCCTTCTCACATGGTCAAGACATGGGAGGTGCAAGTACTCCTCGAATTCAAAAAATGACAAAGACTAAAGATACGCACTGAGACCCACACCCCAGACTGTGTAAAATGGGATTAAACTTGCCCTGTATATAGAACACATACACCATATGTATTTTGTCGGCATCAGAAATACAAACAGCAAGTATAGAAACACTTACTGTGAATTTGATATTGTATTTCCTGTTCTAAATATTTGTTATCCCTGAGCAGTCAACTGCTATGGTATCTTCAAGTCACCATCTTCGTCAACAAAGCAGCAAGATGCATCTTAAACCCAAACGGGCACATACAACAGGAAAATGTAATTATATTAAACCCAGCATTTGCATACAACACACTTCTGTATTTTAATCAATAATTTAGCCTGCGAGAGTATTTCTGTTCATTTAATTATTGATGCAATAATGCCAGTATTTTTGTTCTGCTTCTGATAATAGAAAGAAAGGACAGGACTGCTAAAACAATGGGCCATATGGAAAGAGATCTGTTTCTAATCCTGATGCTAGGCTTCCTTTGTAACAACAGAGTAAGTCGTTCAGTCAGGGTGTATCTCAGTTTCTTCATTTGGAAAATGGAATTAATAATACCTGCTGGCTCATAAGGTTGTTGAGAGACTTGTAAATTGTGTTTGAATAGTGTGGTGCAATCCCTAATGGAATGCTCAAGTGCAAGGTATTATTGTGAACAGAGAAGGGCTCTGGGCCAGACCTCTGTTGTCTTCTCCTGACGGTGCCACCCCAAACTTACTTTTCACGTCACCCACATGAAATGTTATTCTAATTATACATATAACAGAGTGTGTGAGTGAGTGTAATGAACAGTAATGCAACCCTTAAGAGCTGCACCTACCAAAATGGGGGGAATTTATTTCTGTAATGCTTGTTTTTCTATTTCTTATTCCTCCTTATCTGTTGTTTCACTACCTGTATTTAAATGAGAGTTCAGAAAAGGGATCATTTCATGCCTTTTCTATTTGCTCAGTGAGATTGCACAAAGTCCTCTGGTTGTCATAAAACTTGAGAATGATAAAGAGTAGAATGAGTTTGTTTTTTCTGGTGAGCGTTTGTGCTTGAAAAATCTTGAGATTTGAATACGAGGGGATAGGAATGTTTTCAGAACACACACCACCAGCAAACCTGGCCATATTTGAATGTTAATTTTTCTATACACCAAAGGGAATTTTTTCAAATAATTTCTTTATATCATCATATTTATCAATCCAGGAGAATTAGTCCTTTCAGTGTAAAATTTCACTATGGAATGAAAAATAGCATAAAACGCAGTACAGAATTTCTCTTCAATAACTTTTCCTTTTATTTAAAACACGACTCCCATCATCCCCAGCAACACTGGAAGCTCCCCCTTTTTACTAGGTATTGGTTTATTTCAATGTGTCTTGCAGCTGTGGCTTCTTGAAAAATGAAGCCATTATTCAGTCCTGCTTCTGTGTATTCAGAGAGAGGTTTGTCACAGTAATTGTGTGCCCTCCCAGCTTTGGGGCTCTGACTCTGAAAGTACAGCCACTCTGTTGAGGGTCCTGTCAGGAGGGGACTGCTCGAGGACTAAAGTCCTTGCTCTGCTAAGCAGCCCCTGAAATCCAGGTTGCCTCAAAAGGGCTGAAATGTGCTCTTCTTGTCCTACAGAATTCCTTTTCCTGTCCTACTGGGTACTGGAGGGCTTCCTGTACCATGAGCAGATCCAGGGATGCTGCCATATGAGAAGACCTTTTCCCTAGGCAGCAGGGTGGGATTACTGCTCTGCCTCTGGCCTTTGTGCTGGGCATCCCCATCCTGCAAAAGAATAAACAGAGCTTGTTGTGGTCCGTGCTCCTCCAGTGCTCACAGGGATCTCCTGCTTCCAAGTTCTCTCTGGCTGATGATACTGATCCTGCTAGCAGAGAACTAAATTCTTCTGCAAAACCCCTGAAAACTGAGATGGTGGAAAGAGGGAACTGAGAACATCTCTAAGTAGAGATACAAAGTGAGAATGACACCAGGGCAAGGTGGAATCACAGGAGAGGTATTCATTAGAGCAGCAGGGTTTCAAGGACCATAATTGAGGCTTGGATACTATAACTTCTGTGCATAATTAATTAACTGATTATTCCTTACTATTCTTTGTTTCTTTCAGATTCCATTGATGAAAGACCCTGGCTGGATTCGAAACGTCTGGACTCGCAATCTAAATGTAGGAATTTAATTACTCATTTGCCTTTTTAACTCCAGTTCCTTAGGGCAGGCTGAGCTTGAACCCTGGTGGGTCTTTGGGAAAACAGGATAAGGCAGTGGTTAACTCCTGTCCACTTTCTGGTACCCGGCACAGCATGTCCAAGAGTCACCCTTTGGACACTGTGTCTACTGTGATATTATTATTGCTTTGAAAGATCAGGCAGCTCTGTAACACTGGTGGCGCTCACACTTGGCCAGTACTAGCAGGGTAAGGATGGAAACAGCACAAAAATCCAGAAATCTGGCAGTTGACTTGGGCAATAGGAAGAGAATCAGCAGAGCTGTGACAAATGTGAGATGCCAGGCATGCCCCGAACCAGGCAAAATGTGCCCAGATTCCCCTGCTGCTGAAGGCAGAAAGCACATGTGTGAGGTGGTGGTCTTGGGGGACAGCCACAAATTGGACAGAAGGACCTTTCAGGAGAAGTCATGAGAGAGGGAGAAGGGCACTTCCCACCCTGGTTATAGAGCTGCCACTGCTGAACGATTGGTGAAGGAGGAAAAAGACACGGATCCAGGGAACAATTTAATGATTTCTTAAGAGACTCTGGACTCCTCTGTTCCTCAGCAGTGACCTACTCTTTCAGCGATGGTGGGGCATAATATTTAGAGGCTGACGTGTCTGAAATCACAGGTAGGACCACAGCATTTCCATGCAGCACCAACAGTGGCACGTAGGCACATCCGCTTAGCTGAACTGTTGAAGTCACCGTTCAGCTCTGCGTAGGTTTCACAGGAGATGTGTTAGCCTGGGTGGAGTACAATGTTAGCATAGCTACACTGCTGTCTTACGTAGGTCCCACTCAGGTGTTTCCATACAACCTACACACTGCAGTGCAGGATATATTCTATGGTTTACAGAACCTTCCTGATCCAGGAGTCTATGGCAACTCGCACGTAGCTCCTCGGTGAGCTGAGTGACAGAGCCTGGCAGCTCTTCAGTTTGAGTCTGGCAGATGTAGGTCAAGATTTCCATGAAGTTGTGTCAACTTTTGCAAACAGGATCTAACCTTTACGATGAATTGGATATTAGCAGTGTCATGTAAACAGGACAGGTGGATAAGTCAATCAGGCAGTCTGAAATGAGGGTGAGGTTGGTTGCTGTTGGATGGGGTTGGGTTTGAACATCCAATTCCAGTAGCTGAGCTATGCAGCCAAAAAGGTACCTGGGAATTCAACATGCCAGTAAAATAAACGAGGAAGGACCTCCAGTTAGGAAAGGCCACCAAAAAATCTGAATATTAAACACATGTAAAGCAGTATTACTGATGTAATTCCAAACTTAGGGAACATTCCTTTCCAAACATTGGGAACATTCAGATCTGCATTCAGGTGAGATTCTGAACCTGAACATCTCCTGGGTAACCAAAACATGTCACAGGAACTTGTACTGTACCTCTGAAAGAACTGAGGATAATGCGTTCCTGCAGTAAGAATACACTTTAAGAAGAATCAGTCTATGTTTTATCTGGGCAAAATTTTGAATTAATTTTTATGTATCATTTTTATGCTGTTTGTCCTAGATTTCTCATAACGTAGTACAGAAATACATGAAGAAGAGGAGGAATAAGAATTTTCTAATGTGGACATGCTATATTTAAAATGTGCTGCACAGAAGGGAGATCTTGGGAAATTAACAATAACAACAGAAAAACCCCAAAGATGCTGCAGACAAGAGATGTTCGCACCAAGCTGTGCCTGTGTCTGTACAGACAGCATGAAACAGAAAGTGAGAAAACCCTATCAAACTGAGTCGGCCACAGGAAGCAGAATTACACGGGATAAATGATTTCTGACCTGGACAAGGAAGATGAGCAATAAACATAATCCCAACCCCATGCAAGCCACATGCAAAACAGGCAGGGTGACCGGGCTGGGCTGTCACCCAGGGCTGCCGGGGAGGGGCATCTGATACCAGTGGGATGACTGCAACAGGGAGGCTTTTTTGTTTGTGCCCAAATTGCAGTGTGGGGGTGGGCACGGGGAAAAACAGGGTGCCTGCAGAGTTCAGATCAGAAGCAGACATGTACCTTGATATGACTCTGAGCTACCTGTGGGTATGACTTTGTTTTTTATTCTATTAAATAGAATTATTTTCTGTATTTTCTGACCAGGCCTTTGTCTCTTCTCCTACTATGGCAGAGCTTGATACAAAGCACTATCCGCTTGCCCGTTCCTAGTCTTGCTTTTTTAAGAAAAATTCCACCTGTTTGAAACAATGAGCAAGACCCTTTGCTTGTGTAATACAGAGTTCACTGGCTTGAATGGGATTACGTGGCTTTGTGTGAACTGAGCATCAGGCCTGATGCTTTTCAGACCCTAAACTCACTGGGATGGGAATTCTCTTTGCGCATGATATGCTGAACACAAGATCGCTGACGCGCGAGTAACAGCAGAACAAGGTCTTGTTGCTTTTGTGGGCAAAAGCTGTGAGGTTTGAGAGACTGCTCATGGTACGTAGGTTTGTCTGCAGTAGATGAACTGTGCGGTAAATTGTAACGAGGGTAGCAGGAATGAGGCAAACTCTCTGATGAATTCTCAGATTTGCATAATGGAAAATGTAAAGCATACAGACCGCCAGGACAAAGGCTTTCTTCCCCAGAACATGAAATGGATTCCACTAATTTCACTGAAGCAAATGATTTCCATAGACTTGTACAGAATGCTTGTTTTAAGAAGAACCTCTGCCAAATTTATGGAATAGGGATAAATGATTTTCCCAGCGTGCTAATTCTTGGATGCAGCCATTTTCTCAAAATACCTCTGAAAAAGATTTTTTTAAAAAAAGCTCTTGTGCATACGTGCATGTGCTTGTAAGCTTTTCTCAAATTGTGGAGAGAAATACATGGGCACAGAGCTGACTCTCATTGGCTTTTATGTAAAGGCAGGATCTAGAGAATGATATGTAGGGCAGGCAGAGTTGATCACACATTCATTTACAGTATTTTAATACTGGACTAACTTAAAATTGTTTCAGCTTTCCCAGTCCAACATTGAATTAGGTGTCTTTACAATGGATCAGTGCCTCCTGAGAGCCAGTCAGATACTTCATACTTTCTGGCCAGACTATACAGACATAATAACCCCCCTTTAAGACAGGTGCTTTCCTTGCAAAAACTTTTGTGCCTTTTATACTTCAAGACTCTCTTATATTTCACAGTCTTTGTTCAAATATTAATATTCAAATACTGAAACCTTCCATTAGGGTAAAATTCAACTTTCAGCTCAGCTTTCAACAAAACAGCAAAAATCAGAAAAGGGAAAGACTTCCTTTCAATCCACAGACTGTAGTTCCTCCATTAAATACTTCATTTTCCAAATCCAAACTGGCTGTCATACTCTTTGTCACAGCAAACCTAAGTTTAGTTTTCCAAATAATTATTTTTAGACTGATGGAGATGAAATGCTGTTTAATTGCAGTTCTAAAATAACATCCTTTGTTATATTCAGGGATTGCAGTGCTATAACACTTCCAGAGAGAGACTACATTCACTTCAACACCAAGAATATTTCGAGGGAAGGATTTACTACTGAGTTACCAGGGAGACTTCTCCCACTCAGAAATCTGAACATGAAACTGAAATAAAAGAAAGTACTATTTTCATGGTTTTGCAAAGCCAATCACATCTATTAACTATATTAGCACTCCAGATGTAGAAATCATAAAAGTGAAGCCCGTTCCTCAGACAATGTCACGTAGATATGCATGTCCTTTCAGAAGATGTAAAGGAAGATAGCAGGTACAAAACTGAAATAAATGACAATGTTCCTGCTTTACCATACCTGACTTAGAGGTACCAGTGAGAGTTTTAGACAAGTCCTCAGCCTAAACCAGGAGACTGAACTGCTTTGATAAGAGGAACACAGTAAACCACCTTATTCACTGATAAATTGCCCGGGCTTGATGTAAGTAATTAAAGAGAACTTATTTTCCTGTGACTGAATGTGCAGGATTTATTTCTGTGCCTCAACTTGTTTCTAGGATTTCAACACAATCTTAATCATTAATAGCAATCTATTTCTGAGAACAAATCAGCCCACAACAGCAAGATTAAAGAAGCCCTCACAGCAAACAAGACTGAAAAGATCATTTGCTTAAGCCAAATCCATTTTTAAACATTATTGTTGTTCCATACAGCTCAAATTTTGCCTTATCGCAGGCATTCAAAGGATGACTGTACTATAAATTCAGAACAAGCACAGTCCTTGGCATAAACTGTAAATCACTAAAATCACTAAGAATGGAATTGCAAAGAAAATGCCTCTAAAACAGGTTATCCCAAACTAGTATCTCGCCTCTCCCCCTGAATCACCTGATGCTGAGTCTAGAGGTTAAAGATCAGAGACATCTGAAATCCACGGTGCCAGACTGAGGTGTCCTCACAGCTGGGCACGAGTGGAAGGAGAAGATGGTGTGGAAAGACCTGAGGGCCAACGCTCTTGAGCAGACTTGCACCCTTGCGCCTGCCTCGCTGTTGCAGAAAGCCCTGGGGAGGGCAAGTGGGTGCTCTTTGGCTGGAGGCGCGGGATCCACCCCTGCTGCACAGGCTGAATTGGGAAAAGAGGACAAGTGTCCTTTTAGACGATACACACAGATGTTTTAAAAAAATGCCTGAACCTGGTTGCATTCTACCACTTCAAACACTCAAGGAAGTTGAGTCTTATTGAGAGCAACAACAACAAAATAGTAGCAAAGGGTTGGATTATCTTGCTTTTTTTCAGCAAAATTAATGAGAAAGGGCTGAAGAGAGGAACTTCTGGGCAAAGCTTGCAGAAGCCTCCCCCATCAGTTCACTGGTGTGGGAGAAAGCAGCCAGGGTCTGCCTTTCCTCCTGACAGCCTGCTCAGAGTCCTCCACCTGCCTCCTTCTTGAGGGGAGATTAAACTCCTTTTCATCCAGTTTATATGACAACTTGACCTAATGACAGTACCTGAGATAGTGCAGAATTTTCTGGCTTC